CGCGAGGCTAGCGCCTTAGCAGACCCTCTTCGTCGCCGTCGGCCAGGAGGGAGGAGCCGTCGATATGCGCATCTTCTCCCGCCACCCTAGAGGAGCTACTGCGGGGGGGTCTCTCGTGGACTCCCCGGCACGTCATCGGTGCGGTCGGGATGCTGCAACGCCCCATTGCACTGCGGCGACGGGTTCCGCTGTGGGTTTTAGTGAGTAGGAGTCTCACAGTACCTTGCCCATTATGACGGCCGGCAGGGTCCCCATGATGGGTTTCCCCAGCGAAAACAAAAAAAAAACGTCTCTACTTCCGTTTTAACATTTAGTAAAGATTTCTCAGAGATGAGATATTTTTCCGCAATAAAAAGAATCCTATATGTTGACTCAGATAACCAGCTATAATCATACTAAATTTTATCAAAATCCCTCTAGTGGTTTTTCGTGATGCGGTAACAAACAGACAGACAGACAGGCAGACAGACAGACAAAAATTCTAAAAACTATAGATTCGGCCTCTGTATTGGTAATATTGTCTATTTCAATAAGATTTCCCAAAAAATATTTAATGTACAGATTCGGCTCAGAATTTTATTATATTTATAGAAAATGTTGTGTAACCGTTATCAATATACCTATATAATTACAATTGTTTCTATATCAAAACATAATGTTTACTTATAGTAAATGAATTTGTAATATCGATATCCCAAATTATAATATGTCCCATTCACTGTTACAAAGCAATATCTTGAATGAAGTGGTTTTTTATTTGTTTCGGACCCTTGAGGGTTGGAAATAATAATGCACAGTGAATGTGCGTCAATTGCGAAGTCAATGAGGCGTCATAACCGTGGACATCCCGCAGTGTACCCATTGTTCCTACATCTGTCGAGTTTAGCTACAAACCGACTTTACAACTGTGAACATTATTTGTTATATAATATAGCTAAGATATGGTTATGATATTATGTCAAAAAAACAACTTTTACTGTAATAGTATTTAATATTTTTTTATTCATTTTTTAATTTTTCGTTTATTTTTTGTTAATATTTAAATACGCGAAAAGAAAATAGTAATAAAAGTAGCTTTTATTTGATTTTAAATATTTTTTTTTATTATAAATTATTTTACTCATCTTTTTAGTTAATTAACAACTTACTAATAACCATATCATTTTATATCAGAAAGAAAGGAACTCTAATGATTTTGTAGTTAAGACTTAAGACTAAAACAACATATTAATATATTAGTGATACTAATTTTTTAATGGCAATATGTATGTACTCGTAAGTCGTAATTCTGGTGTAGGCATATTCTTCGATTTATTTAGCAATTAAAGGCCATTTAAATTATTTTATTATCAAATGCCTATTAAAAGAAATTCTTTCAAAATCATAAACTTCGATTAAATTATCTACTAATTTAATTCTTATTAATGAGCAGCACTTTCAATCTAAACAAAACTATACCCATGAATATCTTTTTATACATGAAGTACCTTTTTCAGCTTTACAATAACTTGATAATCTTGTTTAGTATAAAATAAATATGAGCAAAATAAGATAAGGAAGCGACGAACAGAAGCTATGACGTCATGTTCAGAATAAACTCAGTTCCGAGAACCAAAACGTTGTGTCAGTGCACTTGTCCTGATAGATTGCGCGAGCGCACGTGTGTGCTAACATTGTATGTGACTTATGTAAAATTAATAGTATAACATAAATATATGCATATATTAATATAGATAAATCTATCATAAATGGATTTCTTTGACCAGAATGACTATCTTAAGTACATACCTATTTACATATTATTATACCTACATAATTTTTATATTCTGCTTCAAATATCAGGTATTGAATATATGTAATGTATTACTTACTTAAATGCCAAATTAAGTAAATTTTATTGCTCATTAAATACGCAATAGTTTAATTTATCTTCTTTCTAATAGTAATTAATTATTATCAATCCACTCACATGCACGATTACACCGTCAAGTATGAATCTGACAACTTTCGAAAAGTTCCAATTTAATATCTAAAGCTTTGCTGTACATTTAATATTAAAGTTTATTGATCTCTTACCTTGCTTAAATAATATTGTAAGATACAAATAACATTTTAAATAGAACCATCAAATATCTGCCAGAAGAGCAGTTGTAACTTTATGAAGTAATAATATTAATAACATGAGCTCTCCCGCGGTCGCTTAAAATCTTGTGCATTATACTGCCGTAGTTTAATGAGTTGGCTTTAAGTTTATTACAGAGAAGGTTTTGTAGGTATTTTGTAAATAAATTTCAGTAACGTTTGAAATACCATGTAATTTTAAATATAATCAATCAATATTTTATCAATTTATTTGATTAGTAAAAGTGAAAATAATGAAGAAATATTAAAATAAGTATTTTTCGAGAAATTTCACGTAGAGTTTAAAAACCTCTCTATCACCGATTTATATTACATTATCAAAATATGATATTTAAACTAATTTCTAAAGAACCAAATGCAAAATGGGTTCATGCATACTTAATAGGAGGCCTTCAACCTAAGATCTTTAAGGGTGTAGGAATTAACATAGCGGCGCCAGGCGCTTTGGCGTCTTGACCGCCATACTGTTTAATTCATTAGATACTTCGTTGTTCTCATGAGATTTATTTATACCATCACTTAGAAAAGCATTTGTCGCTGACACGTGCATGTAAACAGGTATAAGCGTGCCTTATTTTTCTCGCAACTTTACTTGTAACTATTCTTTAAGAAATTCTATCACAACTTAAGACTTTTAGGGATTAAAATACATAACATTTTTTAATGGTTTTTAGGTAAGTTTTTGGTAGTTGGTAAAAATATTCCTTCCTATGCTACCTCAGAAAATATTTAAGTACATACCTACAAAGTTGTTTTATATTATTAGTACAATAGAGCTGATGGAATTGGTATATGCTGTAAATACAATATTTAGTTATAATTATTATTACATATTTCTTATGTATCTCCAAATCAAAAAAATCTCAGTAGTTTCTGACCGGAATTGTTAAGACGCCGGATTATACTGTCACTGGCCAAGTTATATCACATCCGCGTCGGGATATCCTTATCCAAGAGCTTTGAAGTTCTGATTGAATTATCCTATAACTGGAAATACTTTAAGCATACCAACTTATTTATTTATAATCGCTACTTCAATAATAAGTAATAAGTTGTAATAAATAACAACTTATTTATTACAACTTATTACTTATTATTGAAGTAGCGATCATGGCTGAGGTCCCTAACTAATATACAAATCGACCCTTTTTTGCCTTTCCAATATCCTACGGGAACCACTTGACGTAGCTACAGACATAAAAATTTGCCTATTCGTGTTCTGATTTTATAACTATTGCTTTGCAATTGGTGTCGACTCGGTCCGTTGCAGTAGGAAAGAAAGACAAACAAACAAATAAGTTATTATCATAGAAATTGAAGCAATATTAAATAATCCATTTTGCTATTTTAAATTTATCTTTTTTGTTGTATGTTTATTTATGTAGTATGCACATTGTACATACATATGTAGATGGATATATATCACATTGATTTAATAGGCGTTTTTCCAAAAGCTGACATGATAGTGACTCGGGGCTGGTAACCGGGGAAACAATTATAATGAAAACCACCAGGGTACACTTCAAACGTATAATAATTATAGATTCACATATAAGAATTACACCACACTTAATACTACATATATCACTGCTTTTACTAAAATTACACAACACAGTTTCAGCATAACTTCACCGTAACTCTTACTAAATTAGAATGAATCCCAATCATAAAAAGCACTCCTTTTATAATAATTTTAATTTCAATCCACCCACCTTTTTAATAATTATAATGGAACTTCAACTACTTCCGGCGTAATCTCTAAATCATATTAATCCATTTAAGTATTTAATTTATAAAAGCAAACTTAAAATATAATTTCATTGAAACTTCAATTAATAACAATAAATATAGGTTAATTTGAATATATCGAACAATTTTGGCTCAGTTTGTAATAACTCTACTTGCTGTGCCAGCGGTCGCGGGTTCGAGTCCCGCTGGGGGCATTCATTTGTGTGATGAGCACAATGTTTGTACTCCAGTCATGGGTGTTTATATTTATAATATGTATGTATTTAAAGTTATATATGTGTAGTGTATCAACTATCTGGTATCCATAACACAAGCCATAACGTAGCTTACCATGGAACTAGATGGTGATGTGTGTTAATGTCCCAACATTTTAATTTTAGCATTAAAATTAATAAATCACAACACAATGTATTAAAATATATTAATTTGTACACTGACCGTCGACGGCTTTCATATATTCTTGCTTGCTGGGACTTTTATTTGTCATCCATGGCTGGGACGATGGCATAGACGTTGCATTTACTGCCATGCCTGCTGCTTTAAATACGGCTATTTCTAAAAGTTCATTTAAATTTGCTATCAGTAAGTTAGCTCATAGTATAAAATAATTAAGGTTTTTAATTATAGACGTAAATTTTACATTGCAGATAACATAATTTTATGCTATTAGAAACACATAACGTAATTCTACTGGTTTTTATTACAGTTTTTTTATAGAGTAAGGAAGACTTGTTATAAGTATTCTATCATTGATGGAAAAAACGCTCATAAGAAATAAAAACTATTAAAGATTGTTATGTTTATAATATACTTGTTGCTAAAATTTAAAACTATTATATAGTTATGCTAATAGGAAAATCATTTTAACATGAACTACGTCTTTTAAGTTAATGTACAGAGATTTCAGTAAGATTGATTTACTTGAAGGTTGTTATTTTAACTAATCCTATATAATATTATGTAAAACTTATTACAAATAAACGTTGCAACTTCCTACGTAATGAACCGAAAATGGCATACACACGTAACATCAACTATAATAATACTACTATATGAAATGGTAAGGCGAAACTCAATGCGATTACTTAAGACGAGGTCGGCGTAAGTTACAACAGATCCTCTGTGTTTGGAGTTGATTTAGCGTAAAAACATTTCGAATATGCTTCAGATTCGCATACCGTTTTTCGTATTAACGAATCCTTTATTATCTGCGTGGCATTTGATACGGCATCGGCAGCTGGCGCCTGTAGCTTCCGAGGAATGGGTGCGGATTCGATTGCAGTTCTGCAATCCGATCTTTTGTTGTCGGAGGCGATATTCAAGTATTTATCTGATTTTGCAATGTCTCGTGCGCATGTCATCTTCATCTGTAATATGATCTGGGGACAAGCTTTTGTGGTAGCAGAATAAAGGTAGCAGCATGCACTAAGTGTCCTGATATAAAGATAAGTAAAGTGTTATGGTTAAATTTGTTCCATTATGTCTTAAATCTTCCATTCAAACGTTAATCACATTTTTCATCGCGATCTGTGCTAAGTTCGAATAAGCGTCCATGGAAATTTAATTTTGTAATGTTACATACAGGTCTTGCTTTTAATTAAATTTATGATCGGATGCATTAACGTCATATAGCGAGCGGGGTTCATGAAGTTGTTGACACGCGCCCTACATGTATAATGGTTGGTGTTACGGCGTATTACGTGCGCGGCCGTTATGCAAGGCGCGCGAAACCGGCGCAAGCGCACGCCGCGCGTGAGAAGCGGCGCAACATTCGCAACACCAATAACAGCAACCGTGCCAACTCTAACGGCAATACACAGAGTTCAACGCGATTCACAGAACATGATTAAATCAATAGAACAATAAGATTAATCTTATAAAAAGTTCACTCAAAAATAAAATAAAATTCTAATTAATGAGTATGATGTCAAATCAAACCTTATAAGCGAGGCGTTTAGAAAGAATACTACGTACTTATGATTAAAAAATAACAAAATCCTTACTCTCATACAATGCTTGGAGAGTAATTCAACAAGTTACACACGAGACGACAAAAAGCATTTAATTGAAAGATGTCGCCTATGTTGAGCAAACATGTGCGAGGCAGTTCTTTAAAAAACGCGGGGCCCTGAAAAAATGTAGAAAAAAGACACTCGAATGCTGAAGCTCGCTTGTCTGACAGGAAATATGATATTTTATTTTAGCCGTGGGATCAAACCAAGTCGATAATTTGTGTTCCGAATAAAACATCACAGGAGATGTTACGGTAAAGTAAAATTGTTGTAGAAATTCCTTTTATAGAATGTTTTTTCTTCTACATATTTTAAGGTTATATTTTAAAAATAAATTTAAATCGAATCATTTAAATACATAAAGAAAAATACAATGAAAATATATGTAAATTAATACGAAGACCATATAGAATTTTTATATTGTAAAAACATATTAGTGAGTTTTCATTGTGTCACTTCTATCAGCCCTAGTAGGCAATAAATACCACGAATCGATATCAATCAGCATCAATCTGTAGCCGGAAGCCGTATACGAATGATTGACTGTCGCGTTACGACTCGCTACTACCAATGTTTTGGAATGAGTTATATTTAAATCGTTATATAAGCATTTTACATAAAGGATACATTTCGTAATCGATTGACAATCGATAGTTTTCTATTTTCGTATACAATAATACACTTGTCCTATTCAATATTTTCGAGAAAATTTGGTAAATAAGGAGGATGGATTACTTTCAGATAAATCTCTGGAAAATTTTACTCCTTCTCTATCTGAAAATATCGTTAATCGTTATATATACATACATAGTTTCCTCATATCAGAATCGCAATACACTGTCAAAATTTCAACCCTCTAAGTGAGGCGGCTTGCTCTGGGTTTTGATGAATCAATCAGTAAATATTTATATTATTCATATAGGAAACAAGCTTTACTTAATTATAAAACCTATAATTTCTTTTCATGTATTAGAATAAAATAGTAAAAATAAATATAAAAATTGTTTAATTAGAGTAGTTATTATATGTTACGTAAAAGTGGATTCGATGTCGAAATTTATAGTGTCCTTACACATTAGCTCTATATGCTAATATGGTACAGGTCGGTGTCGTTGAGCCTATAAAATCGTCTGAAGTGTAAACAAGCGTAAATATCGCGCCGCACGCACTCGTAAAATCTATTTCTCGCGCCATTGCGGCACGTACTATTCAGACTTTTTATATAAGGACCATCAACTCATTTCGTTTACTTATATACGTGTGGACTCTGGTGTAAGAGAGTATTCGATATACTATAGCCATTTTGTCACCATCTTTATTGTAGCTTCCAACTCTTGTAAACATAAATAATTATGGAAATCAGTGGTAGTGGAAGGTAAAACTTATAGTTACATATAGTTAGTTCTTATAGTATTTTTGTGGTAAGCATGATTCAATGTATTTCACAAAAAAATAACAAAAAATAAATATCACTAAAAAGTAATTTTCATCATATTTTTGATAAACTTTAATTATTGTATTTTGACTCAATAGTCTCGGAGATAAGAGCAAGAAAAATTAACTTTCTTAATATATATATATATATATATAAACATTGTGAAAATACAATTGGATATATGCATAACACTTACTATGGAACCTTTTATTTCAATTGTTGATTGGTGCAAGATGTCAGAGTGCAAGTTATAGTATTGTACTTTTCAGTTTCCTTTCAAAACTGTCCTCCAAAATTAGTTTTTTTTTTTAAATTTAAACTAATCGTCTATTATTGCTTTAATGAACTCGTGTATGTATGTACATATAGTAATATAATACAATAGTACAGAAAGTAACCTCTTTTCATCCTATATTATATAGATTTACACAAACGAGGTTGTCACAAACAGATAAAATTCTTTTTTTACTTGATAAAAATAGCATCTGATCTATTATAATATATAAATATATTTTTTTAATTTTTGTACTTTTAATACATGAATATTTAAATGCTATGTACACTTATAATTGACATACATATAAGGTATATTATTATTACATTAATTAAATTGAAAATGTTTCATATGTACGAGATGTTGTAAGTGTGCTTTTTACAAATAAATAAATAAAATAAATTTATTAAAATTAAATAATAAATCTTTAACTAAAGCTTTACATTTTTTTCTATTTGTGTTTGTTCTTAAACGATACGTGTAATGACGGTCCCTCTCTTCTATATCATTAGTTGGACGGTCTCTACCGTTTCGAGGACAAAGACAAGCCACTGAGTCATCGACGAGATTATTAAGCCTAATATTATACATATGCGCACACAAAGCGAAAGGGAATTGTGATCCATCTTGATTGCTATTCCCAGCGCCGATGCTTCTCTATAGATATGTCAGAATTATTCTTAAAACATGACGTAACTTATAAAAATATTGAAAACGAGAAACAAAAAAGCTTAGAATGTCACAAAAACATATCTTAATAGGTGATAAAATAAAACAACAGAAACTAGCTTTCGAACCGGATACGATTGTTTTATTTTAAAATAACATTTAGCACCGAGTAGAGTCCATATAACAAACAAGGGTCATGCCAGCTTTTCAATGTCAATGTCACATTATTACTATATTATGTATATGGTAAAGCATTCATACTTATCATATATATGTTAATATTTCTATAAATTTCTACATATTTATACAAAAAAACTGCAATTATGGTAATGCCAGACTCTATTAAAGTGTTTTAATTCAATAATGAAATTAAAATTGAATGAGAATATAATCGATCCATTTTCCCTAAAAATTTTATTCTTGCTCACCCTCCCCAATCGTAGTATGTTTTAAAAACTTGACCTGTACGGGTACTGCGAAGTACCCTACAACATGATCTCTTAAATGAGCAGCTGCTAATTGTATAGCCATACAGGCAGACGGTACTGGAGAAAAGTCTTTAGGAGTAGCCTTTATACACAAATCTGCGGCGAGACCAGGTGCAAGCAAAAATCTGGTGCGCGGATAGCAACTCCAACTCGCACCGAGACGACCCCTTTCATTCCACAATCCACAGCAATGTATATATATGGACCGCAGCGATGCGTTCCACACTCTAAAAACAATTTTATAATAATATTACAGAAAAACGATAAAATAAAAAAAATAAATTATTGACTCCTACTATGTAGAGGTTAAAATGTCATTTTACGTATAGTATTACATCTTTGATAACTTCTTAATTTATTTTTGTCAATAAATTAATACTGTTTTTAATAAACGTATCCTATTTTAATTTTAATATTACATCGTAGGATATATGCTAATTAGATACCTACCTTAACTTGTGATTTATGATGAGACCTTCTACGTCGTAACTGAGAATATTTGGATACCACGTAATTTCTAGAGGAAAACGGGGTTTGAGCTGGACAAAGGTATGTGCTGTTATAGTAGCCTTTAAAAGTTTCTGATTTTTCTTAGTGGCCAGAATATTTTCTATGGAAACCTGAATAAATACATAAGAGAAAAAGTAATAAGAATTAATTCTACTTAGTAAGGCACGTTAAAATTAATAAGAAAATAAGTTATTAAATAGATATGTATGATTACAATTTGTCAATTTCGATCGAAAAAGATATTAAATACAGCATTATCACTTAGAAAGTAATCGTTTTTGCATTAAATAGCTGGTGTATTTTATTTTTATTTGCGCGTATGATCATCGTGTGTAAAGTGATATTGTAAAATAACTATTTATTTCACTGTTGATCCTAGTTAACGTAAATAATAACGTATATAAGTGTATTGATAAATTAAAAACTGTTATAAGTTCATAATATCTGTCATGTGAATATATAAATATATAAATATATATATATATAAATTTTATCCAATTGCTAGCATTTTATTTATTACGTGGAAACTATTACAAGATGTAGTAATACTTTTAGTGGGTGCTGAATATACCCAAAAAATCAAATCATCAATCAGATAAGCAAATAACCTACTTAGCTTTAAAACTAGTTAGCTGGTTTTAATTTCATCACAAAGTATCTAGTCGAGGTAACTTTTATATCAATAAAAGTCTTACATAGACAAGAGACTACGAGGAGAATATTATGCCTTAATCAATTAAAAAATTATTAGGGAAAAAATTATCATCGTTTTTAGACTGTTTACAAGATTCCAAAGAGATACCTGCTCAGCATATAGTAGTTCTCGTGGGTTATTTGATATTACAGCAGGCAATTTGCTTGCAACTTCATTATCAGTTACCTCTGTTGATGATTGCTTCATTACAATTTGTTATAATATTATAATATTCAACTCAAATTGTTAATTTATATACTTTTGTAAAATTTTGAAACTACAATTTGACAAGTCATTATAATAAAAAAATATTAACATATATATAGTAAACAATATATTTTTTAAAATAGATAATAAATATATTAAGATAATAAAATGAGATTTTAATGATTTAGTACTCTGTATTTTTCGGAAAAAAAGATTTCATAGTTCACTTTCTAGGGGCTTCTCCCATATAGTTCATTTTTGTATTAACATGTCTTTATAAACAAGTCCATATTTTACTGATGTATAGACTATATTAGTGCTAAGTTTCATTAGTTTTTGCGTGAAAAAATAACAACATCCAACCATATATTTCAACCTACATCCCTTACGTTTATAATATGAGTAGGACTAGCATAAAATGTAAAATTTAGAATAAAAATAAACCCTATTAAACCATTGTTTGAGATCACCTGGCTAACGTGTAAGTCGCCGTACTTGGCTGGGTGTATTAAGCATGATAGCGGCAGCGGATCTCCGGGTCGTGCGTCCGGAAGCGCGCAAGACTTCCGCTCCCGCGGGAGTCGCCGTCACGCTCTATGCAGCACGTTGACCGATTGCTTAAGCTATGTATACATAAACTAATATACTATGCTGTTGTATGCGGTTGCAACAATACATTATTGAATATTTGCTTTACCAGTAATCTTTATATATATAATTCTTCTGTGAGTGTGTATGTCACTGAACTTCTCTCAAACGACTGGACCGACTTTGATGAAATTTTTTGTGTGTGTTCAAGGGGATCTGGGAATGGTTTAGATTCACAATTGTACACGGTAGGTGGCGCTGCTGTCGGTGTGACAAAGGGTTTGTTTTTTTTAGTAGTTTAATCGCGGGCGAAGCCGCGGGTACAGCTAGTAAATATGTATTAGTGTCATTTAGTAGTTGAATTCGCCCAATTGTGCTTATGATCCAGCTGATTGACCAAAACCGCTTTTATTTATATTTGGTTAGAACTTTAGACGTAATAAAGAATCGATTGGTCTATTCGGCAGTAATTTAGAGAACTCGTTCAATTGATTATGAAGCTGGATAGCAACTAAACAATCATTACACACAAAATATACAAACATACATTATTTTAGTTTTACTTTAACACAAGCTTAAAATTCCCTAGCCGATTTCTTGTAAATAGATGCCAAAATAATATTATCAGAAGTTACAGTTTATGTAACATATTATCTTACTTATAATATTCACCTGTAATTATAAATAACGAATTAATTATGAATATCGTACAAGAATATATACCCAAAATCCTTACAAAATACAATATGGAAAAATGCTATGCTAGAAATAGCACATTTTTTTGAATTCTGTACTAATATTATAAAGAGGTAAAGTTTGGGAGTTTGTGACGTTGCAGGGAGTAAAATCTGGATCTACTCTACCGATTTAGATGAAATTTAGTAATAAGATATTTTGCGACCCTGGGAAGGACATAGGATACTTTTTATCCCGGAAATCATCCCTTAAGGGGTTGAAAATAGGGATGAAAATTTGTATGGGGAATCAAGCTAGGGGCCAAGCCGAGCGAAGCGAGAATGAGTCGCTAGTAGATATATATTCTTACAGGTGGCACAATAATTTGCGTTACATGATTAGTAAATACGTTTAAGGAAATACTTGGGAAAAAGGAAATTTTCTTATCAGAAACAAATAAGAGGAACAATTATGTTATATATAGTATTGTGTAATTCAATATTAATTAATAGCATACATAGCAACAATAGCAGCTTCTAAGTAATAAAGATGTCGATATATTTTGCAAGAATCTCTCTTTAATCTCAACTGAAATATTCGTAATTAGGTAAATTTATCTTAACGTCATGGCAAATTTCCATAAACATATTGACTTCATAAAAGTAGGCACATACCAACAAATCAAATTATAAGAAACTATTTAGTCGACGTTGAAATGTAGACTAAACAATGAGATCAGCTGGGCCAACTGCGGGCAGTACAAACTTTTTGAACGACTTTTTGATTCAAGCGCCTACAATAACGAATGTTATTTGAACTGTTGGGCACACAAACGACTTGTGTTATTTCATTTCGAGAACAACTATCATATTGTTATTCACATGCCAATTTCTAAGATCTATTGTTTGTGTAATTCGTAATAACGTCGAAGACATATTCCCATATATTATGCTAATAAGTTTTTTATTATTATAGGTTTTAGCCAGAACTATAACAGTACAGTAAACAATATTAAAAACTTTTATTTATTTACAAGTAAGTATTATAACAACGTTTTTATATCCAACAGTTTTCTTAGAAAGTTAGTCGAGTAGAGAAAAGATAAAATCGTTTTATTTATTATCAACTTGCACATTCCAATCGTGAGCAAATCGAAAATCTGCGAATTGTGTAAGAAAGTAAACAAGAAGTACCGGGCGCAGGAGACGAGGTGAAGTAACGGATGAGTGTCCGTGGGAACGGCCGCCACTTCCGCTCCGCTTGCGATCGCGCCTCGACACTCTCAGCTATTTCCTTTATGTAGGGTGACCACTTGCTTCTATCCACTTAATTTAGTTTAAATACTTAAAACATTACACCAGCTACGTTACGGAATGGTTCACACAGTAAGCACAACTAACTTTTACATAATCAAAAATATTATTACACATAATAATAGTTTATCATCGGAACTATATATATGTAAGCAATAAGAATATAATGTGTTTCAGAATATTATCGTTATCTTGTTTTCATAAATACTAAGTCATATTATGTATTCGTTGCGTGATAAAAGAATCATTATTTAACTATCAATTTATCATTAGCACGGCTTACCAGAAATAACACCTACGTGTGAAATTATTCATTTTCCTGTTTGTGCGCAATACATATGTTCCGAACGTAATTTTGTATTTAAATATTCTATCCTGTATGAATACTTTAATTGCGGTATGTATAAAGATAAAATACCTTTTTAATATTTACACGTCATACACAAAATACTTACTATGTAACTGCCTCGGTGGTGTAGTGGCTAGCATGTACGGCTGCACACCCGGAGGAACTGGGTTCGAGTTCCGGGTCAGGCCAAGTTTAGTTATTGAGTCTTTCTGTATAGTAAGCCTCAGTAACAGCCCGGAGTTGGGAAGTTAGCGGTGTTTCACCCCCGTGCCTCGGAGAGCACGTAAAGCCGTCGGTCCTGCGCCTTAACTCTCACTGGTCGTGTCGAGCAGTCGTCCCACCTGAGTATGAGAGTGACAGGAATAGAGAGTGCACTTGTGTCTGCGCGTACACTTGTGCACTATAATATCTCCTGCGCAGTTGGCTAGTCTCAATGAGATTGGCCGCCGTGGCCGGAATCGGTCATGAGAACATGTATGTATGTTTTTAAATATATTAGTATGTACAATAAATTGCATCTACATAAAGGAGTCATTTTAATGTCAAAATGGAATTGGTTTTTCTCATCAATTGACTTTTGAGCAACTTTTCCTTTTCTTTTTATTATATTCATTACTTCAAAATTTAACACCTCCAGGTAAATTTCTAAGAAATTAATTAAAATTCTAAGAAATCTATTGTTAACTGACACGTCGGCGTGTCTGCGGTTGTGGGGGGAATATTATAATTATTCTTTTATAATGAATAGTTCTTAGTCCTGGAAAATTAAAAAAAATATAAAAATTAACAGTACATAATTTTTAAACATAATATGATATAATATTTTCTTAGTTTTATATAAAACTATCTATTATTACTGTTTTATTAATAAATAAATCCACGAAAAAATAGTATTTATAATGATGTAATATAGCATAATTAATTGTCTTTTTAAGTTCCTTTATATAAATTGTACGTGGTCTCTCTAGCTTTATTAACGAAGCGTCTCAATGTTGCGCAGTAGAGCCATTTTGCAATGTCTCTACTTAACTACATAGTGATATATATGTAGGTACCTAATAGGAATATCGCTGTGTTTATAACAAGCAACATCACAACTGAAGATATTAATTCTATTTACTTAATAAAATATGACAATAATACGTATATTGAACACGCTTAGGTAATAATTGTCTTTGCCAAGTATTGTAACGCCATAAAGTCCTTTAGCATTAATATATAATAGAAACAGTATGGTTTCTACTTTCAGAAACATTGTATATAATATTTGAATGTTATTTTTATTTTCTTCGTGCCAGCTTTATCTGAATCAACACAAACTGTTAAAAACTTGTTGATTGATTAAAAACGTTAAGAACAAAGCTTTGTGAGTTATGTCATTCATATTGTATGATAAATCATAAGTGTATTGACTAGTGGAATACAAATCCAAGTAAAAGACAAAATAAATAAAACATTAAGTTTAATTAGCACATCTCAGACTTGCCAAATCACGACTGAGATTTAGCCGAGAGCTAGGTTTGTTATTAACGTTTTAAAGTAGCCGACTGGCAGAGTCCGTTGACCGGTGCGAGTCCAACTCGGTCTTGCTGTTATCGGCCGGAAGTCGGTCGACGGATACGCGCAATCTCAACCAATTGGATCGGCGAGTCACGCCGCGCGAGCATGCCGTGTGCCCAGGGTCTCAGCTTTTCTAACATTTATATATAAACACTTGGCACATTTCTTCATATTATTAACATAACATGTCTACAAGATGAGTCTAAGAAAATATCATAATATCCTTTTTTAAATAATAATAAAAACTTATCGACCATTTTGCATACATTTTTAATTTATTATTAGCGACTCACCCTCACTTCGCTCGGGTTCGTTCCTATTTACGTTTTGACGTTTAGTATAGATTTCTCAACCCGGATAACCAGCTATCATCACACCAAATTTCATCAAAATACCTCTAGTGGTTTTTACGTCACGCGGTCATAGACAGACAGATAGACAGACAGACAAACAAACAGAGAGATAAAAATTCTAAAAACTATACATTCAGCCTCTGTGTCGATAATATAATGTTTATTTCAATAAGATTTTCAAAAAAAAAATTAATGTACAAATTCGGCATAGTTACAATGTTATTATAGTATGTATAAATAGATAATAAAAAACTACTATCCACAGTTGCAAAAGAAACCTAAAGGTATATTAAGATTTCGTATGAAATCAACTGAGACCCAGCTTCAATTTATTCACATGGAAATCTGTACAAATACCTAGTGTTTAAGGATACAAAATCTATTCTACATATATAATAAATATATTGTTATCCTATTATTAGTGCAATTTAAATAGAACTCTCATCTAACTATAATTTACTCTGTTGTAATACAAAATTATATAATCCAGTCTATTCAGACTCCTTTTGGGTACTTTTTTAATTTGATACTTCTACAAGGAGATTCCTCTTGTACTTGTATTTTAAAGATCGTTATATATGTATTTCACCATCTTTAGTTACGAGCATTACAGTTTTTCTTAGCTATAGATTTATTTAGGCTACCTATATTTTTTTGTGACAGATTGAGTGATAAAATCAAAGGGGAACGGATTTGTGTATTACAACACACACACACACACACTTACTATGGCTCCTAGTGCATGTGCTATGACTCCTGCGCAGTTGGTTGGACTCATTGTCAGTAAGATTCATCGCCGTGACCAAAATTAGTTAGAAGGAGAATATTATAATTTTCATTACAATGTCAAAATTCCAGCCCTTCAGTTTTGGTAATGTAAAGACAAATATTTATCTACATAGATGAATCCTGATGTTACACATGATATTAAACTACATATAACATTCATTTTATTTTGTTTATAATTATAAGATATATGTATTTTTTATTTTGTGTCTGTTTAAAGAAAGTCAAATTAGAAAGGAGGAAGCTTGAAGGGTACACGAAAAGGGTAAAGGCTACTTAATTGATTGTAAGCCCAAATACCCAAAAAAAGACACAAGAAGTTAATTGACTGGAAATTGGAATGAATCACATTTCGTTCTCGGTCATGGTCTAACAATATTGCACTTATTTTGTTAACTTTATGCAACAGTTTTATTTTAATTTTGTTTTAATTTGTAGGTCGAATAGTAGGTAAAAGCAACAACCAATAATTCTGTCAATAACATTAAACATTATTTTAACAACAATTTGTTATAGTATATATAATATGGTTACATTTCTTTGCCAGTCCATTTAATAAAAAAATAAAGGATATGAGACAGATACATATGTATATGCCAAGAAGCTAATATATTCAGAGAATATAAATATGTAAAGTGCTGCTATGCTTTCACAAATTAAGTAATAAGATCTGTGTTATTCATCTGACATTGGCCTCTGGAGCGGTCACCGTGATCGTATACATATTCACAAATAACCTCATCTACATATCGATGAAAAATAAACGGTAGAACAAATAAAAAGCAAGTTATTACATATAAAGGAAAATAAACATAAATATAAGATTAAAATAGTACATATTTTAATATAGGTAATATTTATAAAAAAAACAATATATCGACCGATTACAATATATATTATAATATTATCAACTATACTGAAAGGTTAATTTCTAAGTTGTGGATTGCAATGTAGTATCGTAATATTCATTTTAATAAACAAATGTAGTAGCTACTTCATGCTACATTCAATGCTACTTTATTTATGCCAAGAATGAATGATATTTATTTTGTTAACGAACTGGAGCTTAATGGCAAGAGCTTTAAATATAAACAACTTATCGAAACTACTAAAATTATTGTCATTAAGAGTAAAAAATAAACTTGAGCGGTATGAGACTGGTTATAATTAAGTTTTTTGTATTATTCGTGATCTTCGTTATACCGAAGGCATACCTACTTGTTAAGCATGCCTAGACGAATGTTCCGCGTGACCTTCACCAATGTCCGTCAATAAAAAGCTGTCGTCGTCCTCCGAATAATGAACATAAGCGAGACGACGAATGGTAAAAATAACATGTCCGGAAAGTCCAGAGCCATCTCGTTTTCGGAATAACACTTGTAGAACCGGTCGCACTGGACATGACCAAATACGAACATGTTTCCTTCCTCGTATTGTACGAAGTGTACGCTCTAGAGTTTACATCTTTTGTTAGCATTTATACTATATGTATAATACATATTTAATTTTATAAAATGAATTATAATTTTAACAATAATATTTTTATTTGTCTATTTAAATAGTTTTACGACAGTCATGTTTCCTTGTCCGCCTTTCTAAATCCTGTTCAGACCACGTAATCTACGTAAATTAATATTTTTATTCTGTTAAATGTGCCTAAAAAAACTTTTTGCTATTGCAGGTAAATATGATCAAAGTAAGTATATATATTCGTTCAGTCGTACATGCTAGCCACTAGACCACCGAGGCAGGCATACACAGCACAAGAATAGTGATCAAGTACTAAACAAAATAATTACTAGTTAGACTCTATTACTATTTACTAGTTAATAATAGATAATATTAATATAATACTGTTAAAATTGTCACTGAAGGCTACTGACTACCCAATTTCAGTTGTTTGAGATTGACAGGTTTTGGTAAATTTAAACAAATAGATTGGTTTACAGGAATCAATTTTTTACTAAACAATATGAACTAAAATTGTAAGCGTAACAGGACTAAAAATACAGTAAAAGCAATAGATTTTATTACCTACATTGTCTTTTTATTGGCTATCTTCCCACTTCTAATACAGACGTATAAACATTATTTTAGAAATAAATAAATAAATCTCTATTACGAGTATAAGCTGAAAAATAGATGACATTGAAATTATTAAAAAAACATACAGGAATCTGAATCTGGCATGAATTAATAGGTTTCAAATACCTCTCTCCAAGATTTATTTATAATGTTAATATAAAATTCGTTAATTACATGCTTTAGTACATATATTTTCTTTATACAAAAAATAATAATTTAATACCATTAAAATATGACAACACCTCTGAAACTTACTAATCTTCATCCTTAATATATGAATTTCAGTAAACAGGAGACGGAAGCTGTATATAACAAACATGCAAAACCGATCAGATTTATCGATTCGCAAACAGCAATATGGCGTGGGTATATTTATCTACCCACCTTCCTGGCGCCACACTTCCGCCGGAAACGGGCGTCGTCTCCGGTCTAACCCTTACCATGTTTCCGGTTTCCGGCTTCCTTTGAAATCACATTTTCCTACTTTATACCGTTTTCAGATAGCTTGACATACTTTACTACGGATTTTGAAGTACCTAGTTATAAAAAAAATATTTCTATATCTTACACTATTACTTTTTTAGATTTACGTATCTTAGATTTTCCCGTGACCATGACTGCTGTAAAGCATTCGAAACGTCGGGAACCAAAAATCAAAATAAATTCGCGAAAAAATCCGAAAAGATAGTGTTATTTAAAAAATCTTCACTATTTTTAAACAGCATATAAAAATGCCAACCTATATACTTTTTATAAATGGATATAGAAAAATATAGAAATATAGGAAAATTTTGTCAGTCAAGTATCAAAATATAATCAAATAGTTTAATTTTATTCGAAATAAATTTTACAAACATATAAACTCAACTATCTTATTACACAATTTCATCTAAATCGGTTCAGTAGATCCAGAGATTACCCCCTACAACGTCACAAACTCACAAACTTTACCTCTTTAAGTCTCTAGATTAATATGAAACCTAAACATGTGCAACTCAAACAAATGCTTATATTTAACGTGCAAGTCAAAACTTTTTATATTCTTGAAGAATTTATCAAATAAATATATGGATTTATATTTTAGATTTAATTCTTGGTTAATTGATTTTTTTAACTTAATGTAGGAAAGAGCAATAAAAGTGAGCGGCTTTCACTTTATATATGATATTGATTAGTTGCTGTGTTAATTCCCAGGTCAGCTGTAAACTTACACTTATATAATTACTTAACTTTATTAGCAGATAAACTTCCGCTTAAAACTAAAATTCAATTAATATCCAATAATATCATACAATCAATATTTTTTCAAAAACAAAATGAAACTTTAGTGGAAAAAAGATAGTATCACCAAAATATGTTGTGATATATAGATTTTAATATACTATGTCGTAAGTGTTGAATTACAACATCATACATTTTTCTATAAGAGGTAGATACTCGTATTTTCAACAATATTTATTTTAATACTTTCTTAGATTTAAACGAACATTTGATACTTTAAAATAAAACTATCCTTCGGATTATTTTGCGAATTTATTTTGATTTTTGGTTCCCGACATTTCGAATGCTTTACAGCAACCACGCTCACGGGAGAGATTAAGGTTTTAGACGTTTCTAAGGCATTATATACTTGTTCCAGACAATTGTTATCTTTCTGAAATAATCCGAAAAGATAGTGTTATTGTATAATATTTATTTATTATTTATTATTTATTTTAACATATAAGAATACTTACGCACAAAACTTAGTTAACTTAAATTGCTTGAAATGAAATAAGTATGTAAATAAACATAAAACTGTAATTGAATATAATACCCTTATTTGGTATTATTACGTTATAATCATACAGGTTTTGAAAGTAAGCAAAGCCTCTGGTGTAAGAACTCATCAGTTACCAATGCTTCCTGCATTGCAGCACGCTCCGCCCAATTTCTTCAGCGACCGACATTTCCTACCAGGTATTTTAATGTACGAATATAAATATAATTTTCTATCTTTACAACATTCTTCGATTTATATTTATTAGATGCCAATTTACTTATGTTTTATTTCATTTGTAATAGAATACCTAAATCGATAAATAGTTTTAATTCCGATTAGCAAGTATAAGGAGTTGTAACAACAAAAGAGACACAGCAGTCACATATAGTTGCGTAAACAATTAGTTTCGGCGCATCTCTGCCGACCTAGTTTTTGTCTTTATTATACATCGTATGAAGCGGATTGGGTCAGCGGCGCCTGAGCGCCTACGCAACTTATGTCATACGCATACGTAACGTACGTGCTGTGTGAGCCCTCTCAACAGCAAGCAATACAACTAACATATAATTACTTAACAGAATAGGGCTTCGTTTCAATCGATTACATATGAGAAATTACATCAATAAGCCGATACTGAAATAGTAGCGATTCAATGTAATAATGTAAAGGTAGTAAGCTTTTATTATTTACTACACCGCACCTCCCTATAATAGGATACAACAAAGCATTGTACAATTCTTAAACCATAAATAAACATGGATCCTTAGTTACTAACATGATTTGCCATTTATAGAAGAAGTAAGTTAATAAAAGTATTTACACACACATTGATATTTTTTTGAAATATACTATTTAAAAAGTTAATAGTTCTACCTGCCCCTTAGTTGACAAGAATGTCATTTTTCATGTCCTGACGGCGGGCGGCACAGGTGCTCGCAGCCTATTTATACGCAGCCATCAGTATGCAGGCACGCTGCCAATTACAGCGGAGACCTACTTTCTTACCTTCGAACTTTTACTTCCTGCGGGCCAGGCAAGGCGGCCGGTCGCACCACGCAACAAATTACGAAAGTGGCGCGAAATGCTCGACGGCCGACATTCGCACGCTTGCGCCACCGTAAGGAAGTGCTGAGTGCCGTTGCAGAGGGTTACGTAGCCGCTGCCTGTGCCCACGGGCGCCGTCTCCGTTCCCTGCGTGTTGCCTCTACTCTTCAGAACATCGAGAGCCCAATAAATTATATAGAGCAGAGAACAAAACTAGCTAATCTCTATTTACTGGAAATCATAAGTCATATTAAATCTGAAATTAAAAATATTATCTCGATAAATTAGTTAAATGACACAACTCTATGTCCGTACATTACATTCAAAGATATTTATTACACATTTTCTAGTTTATCGGAAGTCTAAGTTACCTAAGCTTAGATTTACAAACGCTTGAAGACTTACGAAATCTTAGGAACACAAAATAGGTATTCAACTTCTCGTTTCGATTACAATAAAATAGCGCGTACAAACATTGTGTAATAGTAAATCTAATAATAATAAAACGTTACACAAGTGTTGCTCAGAAAATCGGGAAAATCAAGCAAAAAGGGTTATAGGACGAGAAAATTCACACCGCTGTTCCGTTAATCGAGTTCATTCGTTCAGTATATAACCTCATCTTCTAACACGTAATATGTGCAACGGTGCGCACCCGATCTCGCACGACCGGTCCCGAAAGTGGGTCATCTCTTTTTGTTCCACCACATATTCCGTAATTAGAAAGAGAGGGTGAGGGTATTTGCACAGTTCACATAGTTATTGCAGCTAGTATTATGCTTTATGTAAATCAGTTCATTGATTACACAAAGCGATTGTAATTAATTAGAAATTATTTTATTATAACTATCGTAATAATAACAACGTATTGATATACATAGATGTTTATGGAAAATTAAAATTAATAACACCACATTAGTTAATTGGTAAGTATTAAGTAATTTTAGAAACATTTTCATTAGTTGTTAATCTTATGCAATTTCCTCGTACGAAGAAACTAGTAAGCTACTTTTACCGAGTCTATGCTACATAAAATTCGTATCTATTTCACCGTTCATTGTACATATATACATATTATAAAGTAAAACCTCTCTCTCTATTATCTCTCTATTCAGTAAATTAATTTTCAAATATTATTTTAAGACAAACGAAAAAAGTATTTTGTATCACAAAATGTTTGATGCTCATTTGAAAGTGCATACCATTTATACATTTAAATTACACACAAGCAAATCCGTCACATAAATAACAATGTAAGCTGGAACTTGCAAGGCAAGCGCCTATAAGAAATTAAATAATAATATATCAGGAAGCAATGCTGTACATTGTTTAAATATATTAATTATTATTTATATTTATGTCATTAATATAATACGTTTGAATAACAAGATATTATGAACGTATATAGTCACTTCTAGATGTAATGAGCTATTTCATTAGCAATATAACAAATTGAACAATTTGTCATAAATCATAATATGTATATTGTATATGTATCTATATCTATAGAGATATATCAATGCATTACAATGTCGTGCATTTTGTTGAGAGCCATCCAAAACTGTAATATTAACACGTACAGTTAAATATGTCGATAGGACATTCAATAGCAAGATCAGACGGGCGAATCTCGCGAGTCGCCAAGATGGCGGTACGCGGAAGTGTGTGCGACTTCCGCGTCGCCCTGCGCTCGCGCTCGTGCGCACCGATCGTGACTGCTATATGCATTATTAACTAACTCTTACACATTATAAAACCTACACAACGACAACTCTTAATTTGCACTAAGTGTCGACTCTACTTATGTACAACAAGCGCTAATTACTATGAAGTTTTCCTGCAAAAATATTATTTTACTCTTAAGAATATTTTAAAGTTACACCGATTTAAATGTTTGTTAATATAATTATTATAAAGACATGATTATGAAATATATCTCAAACCTCTTAACATTAATCTCTTTAAGCATACATATTTTGAATGGCAACAAAACTGACTCATTTTTATTTTATAAATAAAAAGATATACATATAAGAGTTTTAATTGCTCATAATATCTTTATGCTAAGGAGAGTGGAGACCAGTTTGAGAGCTGGCAACAGGTTGTATATTATAGATGTCCGAACGCAAGCAGCCGGCCGGCTAAAACGGTTAATAGTGCTTTCATGAGTGGAAATTGCTCAAAATAATGCGGGCAACATCCTTATTATGCCGTGAGAGGTGCAATACGGTGAGATTTGCAGGAATCAGACGAGTAGTAAATGTGTGTGAGTATAGATAAATATATGTAGGTACAAATCAATACTATATTATTTAGAAATTTTAATTGTACTTTATAAACGTATTAGATTTACTTATTATTCCAATAACAACGATGATATATTCATTAATTCTAATACTAATTAAATCCAAGGCTAAATATAGCTAGTAGCCGTTAATATATAATTATTGTAATATTATCCACATAATTTAATGCTAAATTAAGTTTTTATTTTTCAGAGCTTCTTGGAAATTTAAACAGGAATTAAAAGCCTACAAGATTCGTCTATTCATAAAATTCTAATCAAGCAAATTTATATCTTATATAAATAAAAATGAATCACCAAAATGTACGCGCATAACTTCCGATCGACTGCACCAAAATGGATAATTCTTTTTTTGTGTTTGTTTTTCAGGACAAGTTTTGTATAGAAGAAAATTAAAAGAAAACATTTTTTTACAAAAATACCATTTTTTTTAATCTCATGATATTAAAAGTGAGTGAATGAAATAGTTTTTATCCCGGAAATCATCCCTTAAGGGGGTGTAAATGGAGATGAAAGTTTATAAACAAGCTATGGACGAACCGGAGTGAAGCGATGATGAGTCGATTTATGAAAAACACATTTATTCATTCATTCATTATATCTCTTTATATTTTAATAGTATAGAGTGTTGATTGAAACGAGAAGATTAGATTTATTTTAACTTACCTACTATTTTTTATACTAATAGACTGCACAAAATTGTCGTGGAACTAAGTATACACTAAATACAATTTCATTTATAGCTAAGTACCTCCTTTGCCCTATTTTTCTTATTATCAACCCACAAAAATAGGGGAAAGTTATCGTGTGTATGTATCTGTGTGTCTGTCTGTCTGTAGTGCCCAAATAGATGGATCGATTTTAATTCAGCTTTTTTTTGTTTGAAAGGTGACTTGATCGAGAGTGTTCTTAGCAATCAATCAAGAAAATCCGATCAGAACAGAAAGATACGATCTAGACGGTAAAGAGATATGAGAAAATTCCACAGATCTAATCGATTCGAAACTCTGCATCCCGTTACCTCTATGATATGGTAACCTTGGCCAGATGCTGCAGCATCACCTGAAATCTGCAGGATACTCAAGTCTTTACTAAGATACTGTAGATATATCATGTTTAAGCTCATTAGAATAAGTTATTGTTTTGGATTTTGTAATGTTTAATTTAAGAGTTTATATTATTAGGTACAATTTTACAAAAACAAAATTAACAAGTATTCTTATTAGATCATTGAAAAACATTTTATTGAATAAAACTATCTTTTCGAGAGACAAACTTTACCTCTTTATAATATTAGTATAGATAATTAGTTTAAAAGTACAGTAAATTTCTTTATTATATTATTCCTTCGGGTTCTATAAAATTAATCTAAAAATAAAATAAATAAGACTATAATCTATCTGTGCCAAATTTCATCCAGGTCCGTTCAGCCATTCTGGCGTGAAAGAGAAACAAACATCCATGCATCCATCCTTACAAACTTTCAAATTTATATTATTAGGTACTAGGATTTAAAACTGGTTTACCTAGACTAATTAATTGTTATTTATATATATACAATATCGTTTTGTTTATAACATTTGTATATGCATTTTTCATATGCCAATACTTATATAGTATTATTTATATAGTGATCCGTAATTGAAGCATTACTGAGAAGAGCTCATTGGAACCAACACGAACGCTAAGAAAGTATCAATAAATGAATCTATTACATCATCAGTATTTAACCGTCCATGAACTGTCTATTCTTTGTATCCCAGACTTCAAGACGGTCAAGAATAATTTAATAATAATTCATTAAGCCCTTGAAACCTATCTCATTTGTGTAGTTCTCTATATTAAGTACATACTTTTTTATTAAAATATTTTTCTATAAACGATATCCTGTAAAGACCTAATATTTTACATTCTACATTTTAATAATCATAGAGAACAATAATGAAAGCGAATCAGTCTGGTTCGTATCAATGTTTATCACACACTCGCATGCATACATACATGGGCAGTTGAAGCGTATATTTTAATACATTTTGTGATATAGGCGGTGTAGTGTGTACGTAAGGACAGGCGGGCCGCACTAGGGATGACAAAACATGATTTATATATTTATCGAGCTTAGAAGCATGAAATAATTGAATGTTTTTTTTTCTTGTTCATACTTAAATATTATCTTATAAAAGATCTTTTAGTTTATAATTTACCTAAAAAAAAATTGAAAACGCTTGCACACATACTTAATAAATATGCACTATACTATTTTTAACGTATATGGTTATTGTCAGTAAGATTTCTGTCACCAAAATAGGGCGTTATTATACAAAGCAACTAGGCATGCCCAAAATTATTCCAATGCAGTTAAATATAAGTTTGTTTCCTACAAAGATACAAAAATAAAATAACATACAAAAAGTGACATCACTTAACATAAAGAGCAATAACAGTAGTCGCAACCCTAGAGTCGGGTCGCGACGCGCCCGGACATTCCGCCCACAATTACTAGCAATTGCGCCAATTGAACACACCGCCACCCTTCCGCTTTCCAGCTATCGTCATCATCCACTAACATCTGTCGTTCGCAACTCATGCAACAAGTATTGTTGCATCCAACTCGTTAAAATTGATAGCGTTACGCTATAAAAATGATGTGGCAAAGCAAACCAAAACAACACCCAAAAACACACAATTGTATGTATATTGTATATGTTATGGGTCGAGTTATTAAGTAAGGCACTATGTATAATGCCCAGTCTGAATACTTATTCATATTTACTTATTGATGAGTCAAATTGGACCTAGTGATTAATAATTATTTAAACTTAATAAACTTCATTATTTGTCATAGTGTATGGGCATTATGAATATAGCATCATTTTATTCATTTCATTGCTACTCAATAGTTCTGCAATTTGATAATGTTAAGATTACGCGCTCAGTTATAGAAAAAGGCTGTGATGGTGTGGGTGGTATTTTGGATAAGGGAGGTGATATGGAGTCTAAATAAATATATATATACATATAATTTATTTTAATTTAAAAAACATTATTTTGAGGAAATGAAGGAGTCAAAAGTTATAATAAAGGAATCAAAGACTTAAAGTAACAATATTTCCAAACATTATTATGATATTTGTTGTCATTTTGACACTTCCAATTCTTGTGATACTGTCCAACGCCTATTGATTACGAGTCAAAACAGTCACCAAATTTAAAAACATATAGCACTAATGATATTGGAGGTTTTTCTGTGTTTGAAATTAAAAAAAAAGATCTAACGAGAAGCCTTAGCCTTCTTAACCTATGTACGTTATCCGAGTAGGGCCTGTCAAATAATGAAAAATTAAAATATTCACAGGTAACTAAAAATTACAGGTTAAGATTTTTCTATGTAAGGAAGGAAATATAAATATTAAAAAGAAATACTACACCTACCTATTCTTTTTAATGTTCAAGAGCAAGAAACCTAAATTTTTTTACATATTATACAACACATTATGTCAAGCTAATATCGTCACAAGTATCTCACGTAAACTCATCAATGTTGATCTATTATAAGTTTTTAAATTAATTACATTTTTCCTTTCTTTTTTTATAAACACACCTTCCATCTTTACATTTTATTTCATTATTCAACAACGTAAGTAGTACCTACTTTATAGAAAAAACGTTATAATTCTATCAATAATAATATAAAACAGAAATAAAAATAGTAAATAACAAACAAAACAATTGTAATTCGAGGTGCTGCCCCTCTCAAATTAAGCTCATCTAGCACGCGCTCGCACACACTCGCTCGCACACATGCGAGGCTTGATTTCTTTTCGCAATTGAAGCAATTGGCTGCGGTCACCGTCTCGTCACCCTTCCGCTTTGGCCATGTCAACTTCTATAATTCTACTGTGAGTGATCACATCACTCTTAATTAATGATGAAACACAAATATTAGATAAAATAAAAATTACATAATTCGTTGGCTTACTATTATAAGGTTCTATGTTAATTTTAATGAAGTTTAGTAATTTTTACATAGAACTTCGTTATTTTGTTATCGTAAAAGAAAACAACATAGAACTATGTAAAATTGAATATTTTGTAGTTATAGTGCCGCTATCTAGTGGTTTGTTTTAGCAAAACTGTAGCTAATGACACATAGAACCTTGTAGCATTAATAACTAAATAAGTACTAAAATTGTAACATAGAACCTTGTAATAGTGAGCCAACGATTATGTATACAAAGTAATAGAGCAAGCTTTAATAAATGACTATTATTAAAATATTTACATTCAATTCTCATAATTCAAAAATATAAGTTTAAAAATTGAGAATACACCATCGTTATAATATTTTACGTAACACAAATGAGGCATGCAATGCAATGCATGATTTTGTATCGCATAAAGTTCTAAGGTATTTATTCTGCACGTGTATTGGAATTATCGCTCACGCGATTAAAAACTACTTGTTAAACTAATGCTTAAATACAAAACAGACACGAGAAATTGATAAACTAGTTCAAATAATATAAACACTAGTAGCTGTTAATCACATCTATACTTAATATTTTAGTACGTTTTAAAAAAACATAATATACTTATTTTATATATTACTTCTAACATTTTATCAAACTCTTTCTGTAAAACCTTTGTGTTGTAATATTCAATAGTTTCTTTTTAGAAAAATCTTTAACATTATGATAATGAAACTTCTAAAAATAGTACAAAATATCTGCAATTTTATTAATAAGTACGTAAATACTTTCAGTAAAGTTAGATGACTAATATCAAGGTCTAATCTGATTTATACTTCTATACTAATAAATAAAATTAAAACGACTGGCTGAGTTTCCAATTATATGTATT